TAGAAACAAAGGATAGCCTGAATTGTGCGATTTTGAGGCGTCCGTTACACTGAGGACGGTAGCTAGTAGTGCGCGTTTTCGTAGTACGATATAATATGATTATACGATATGATACAGTATGATACAGTATGATGCTATATGATACGATATGATACAGTATGATATAGTATGATGCTATATGATACAGTATGATACGGTATGATACGGTACGATACTTTATGATGCAATATGATACGGTGTGATACGGTATGATACAGTATGATACGGTATGATATTGTATGATACTATATGATGCTATATTATACGATATGATATAATATGATGCTATATGATACGATATGATACAGTATGATATAGTATGATGCTATATGATACAGTATGATACGGTATGATATTGTATGATACTATATGATACAGTATGATACGGTATGATACGGTACGATACTTTATGATGCAATGTGATACGGTATGATATTGTATGATACTATATGATGTTATATTATACGATATGATATAATATGATGCTATATGACACGATATGATACAGTATGATATAGTATGATGCTATATGATACAATATGATACATTATGATACGGTACGATACTATATGATGCTATATTATATATATGATATAATATGATGCTATTTGATACAGTATGATACGGTATGATATTGTATGATGCTATATGATGCTATATTATATGATATAATATTATGCTATTTGATACGGTATGATACAGTATGATATAGTATGATGCTATATTATACGATATGATACAGTATGATATGGTATAATGCTATATGATACAGTATGATACGGTATGATACGGTACGATACTTTATGATGCAATATGATACGGTGTGATACTGTATGATATAGTATGATACGGTATGATATTGTATGATACTATATGATGCTATATTATACGATATGATATAATATGATGCTATATGATACGATATGATACAGCATGATATAGTATGATGCTATATGATACAGTATGATACGGTATGATATTGTATGATACTATATGATGCTATATTATATGATATGATATAATATTATGCTATTTGATACGATATGATACAGTATGATATAGTATGATGCTATATGATGCTATATTATATGATATGATATAATATTATGCTATTTGATACGATATGATACAGTATGATATTGTATGATACTGTATGATGCTATATTATATGATATGATATAATATTATGCTATTTGATACGGTATGATACAGTATGATATAGTATGATGCTATATTATACGATATGATACAGTATGATATAGTATGATGCTATATGATACGATATGATACAGTATGATATAGTATGATGCTATATGATACAGTATGATGCGGTATGATACGGTACGATACTTTATGATGCAATATGATGCGGTGTGATACGGTATGATATAGTATGATACGGTATATTGTATGATACTATATGATGCTATATTATACGATATGATATAATATGATGCTATATGATACGATATGATACAGTATGATATAGTATGATGCTATATGATACAGTATGATACAGTATGATATGTATGATGCTATATGATACAGTATGATACGGTATGATATTGTATGATACTATATGATACAGTATGATACGGTATGATATTGTATGATACTATATGATGCTAAATGATACGATATGATACAGTATGATATAGTATGATGCTATATGATACAGTATGATACGGTATGATATTGTATGATGCTATATGATACAGTATGATACGGTATGATATTGTATGATACTATATGATGCTATATTATACGATATGATATTTATGATGCTATATGATACGATATGATACAGTATGATACGGTATGATATTGTATGATACTATATGATGCTATATGATACGATATGATACAGTATGATATAGTATGATGCTATATGATACAGTATGATACGGTATGATATTGTATGATACTATATGATGCTATATTATACGATATATAATATGATGCTATATGATACGATATGATACGATATGATACAGTATGATATAGTATGATGCTATATGATACAGTATATGATACGGTATGATATTGTATGATACTATATATGATGCTATATTATACGATATGATATATTATGATGCTATATGATACGATATGATACAGTATGATATAGTATGATGCTATATATACAGTATGATACGGTATGATATTGTATGATACTATATGATGCTATATCATACGATATGATATAATATGATGCTATATGATACGATATGATACAGTATGATATAATATTATGCTATATGATACGATATGATACAGTATGATATAGTATGATGCTATATTATGATACAGTATGATACGGTATGATATTGTATGATACTATATGATGCTATATTATATGATATGATATAATATTATGCTATTTGATACGGTATGATACAGTATGATATAGTATGATGCTATATGATGCTATATTATACGATATGATATAATATGATGCTATATGATACGATATGATACAGTATGATATAGTATGATGCTATATGATACAGTATGATACGGTATGATATTGTATGATACTATATGATGCTATATGATACGATATGATACAGTATGATATAGTATGATGGTATATGATACAGTATGATACGGTATGATATTGTATGATACTATATGATGCTATATTACACGATATGATATAGTATGATGCTATATGATACGATATGATACAGTATGATATAGTATGATGCTATATGACAGTATGATACGGTATGATATTGTATGATACTATATGATACAGTATGATACGGTATGATATTGTATGATACTATATGATACAGTATGATACGGTATGATATTGTATGATACTATATGATGCTATATGATACGATATGATACAGTATGATATAGTATGATGCTATATGATACAGTATGATACGGTAGGATATTGTATGATACTATATGATACAGTATGATACGGTATGATATTGTATGATACTATATGATGCTATATTATACGATATGATATAGTATGATGCTATATGATACGATATGATACAGTATGATATAGTATGATGCTATATGATACAGTATGATACGGTATGATATTGTATGATACTATATGATCCTATATTATATGATATGATATAATATTATGCTATTTGATACGATATGATACAGTATGATATAGTATGATGCTATATGATGCTATATTATATGATATGATATAATATTATGCTATTTGATACGATATGATACAGTATGATATTGTATGATACTGTATGATGCTATATTATATGATATGATATAATATTATGCTATTTGATACGGTATGATACAGTATGATATAGTATGATGCTATATTATACGATATGATACAGTATGATATAGTATGATGCTATATGATACGATATGATACAGTATGATATAGTATGATGCTATATGATACAGTATGATGCGGTATGATACGGTACGATACTTTATGATGCAATATGATGCGGTGTGATACGGTATGATATAGTATGATACGGTATGATATTGTATGATACTATATGATGCTATATTATACGATATGATATAATATGATGCTATATGATACGATATGATACAGTATGATATAGTATGATGCTATTGATACAGTATGATACGGTATGATATTGTATGATACTATATGATGCTATATTACACGATATGATATAGTATGATGCTATATGATACGATATTATACAGTATGATATAGTATGATGCTATATGATACAGTATGATACGGTATGATATTGTATGATGCTATATGATACAGTATGATACGGTATGATATTGTATGATACTATATGATACAGTATGATACGGTATGATATTGTATGATACTATATGATGCTAAATGATACGATATGATACAGTATGATATAGTATGATGCTATATGATACAGTATGATACGGTATGATATTGTATGATACTATATGATGCTATATTAAACGATATGATATAGTATGATGCTATATGATACGATATGATACAGTATGATATAGTATGATACTATATGATGTATGATTGTATTACTATATACATATGTATGATACGGTATGATATTGTATGATACTATATGCTATATGATACGATATGATACAGTATGATATAGTATGATGCTATATGATACAGTATGATACGTATTGTATGATACTATATGATACAGTATGATACGGTATGATATTGTATGATACTATATGATGCTATATTATACGATATGATATAGTATGATGCTATATGATACGATATGATACAGTATGATATTGTATGATGCTATATGATACAGTATGATACGGTATGATATTGTATGATACTATATGATACAGTATGATACGGTATGATATTGTATGATACTATATGATGCTATATTATACGATATGATATAGTATGATGCTATATGATACAGTATGATACGGTATGATATTGTATGATGCTATATGATACAGTATGATACGGTGATATTGTATGATACTATATGATGCTATATTATATGATATGATATAGTATGATGCTATATGATACGATATGATACAGTATGATATAGTATGATGCTATATGATACAGTATGATACGGTATGATATAGTATGATACTATATGATGCTATATTATACGATATGATATAATATGATGCTATATGATACGATATGATACAGTATGATATAATATTATGCTATATGATACGATATGATACAGTATGATATAGTATGATGCTATATGATACAGTATGATACGGTATGATATTGTATGATACTATATGATGTTATATTATACGATATGATATAGTATGATGCTATATGATACGATATGATACAGTATGATATAGTATGATGCTATATGATACGATATGATACAGTATGATATAATATGATGCACTATGATACAATTTGATACAGTATGATATAGTATGATGCAATATGATACAGTGTGACACGGTATGATACGGTATGATATAGTACGATACTATATGATGCAGTATGATACGGTGTGATATAGTATGATGCTTAATGATATGATATGATACAATAGATGTTTAAAAAAGGGTGTTGTATGTATATTGGTGTATACTGAACATGGAATTATTACCACCATTCGGAAGTTCGAACTTTGATCAACATGGCGGCCGATGCTTGTGGGTCACATTGTGATGGTCAAGGCCATAGTCATGGAGATAATAGCCCAAAAAGTGCTGAAATGGATATTTTTAAAGCTGCTAAATCTGGGTGCGTTGGAAAGAAATTTAATATAAAAAATAAAAAATATATTTCACCCTTCAGTCTTCAGAGACCATACATTACACACAGTCGGGCTTTTTTCTTGAAGACTTGAACTGTTGTCAGTACAAGCTTGAACATGTAAATAATCCATATACACCAGGAACTACGGAGATCCGATTCAATGTTTCAATATTTTGCTTCCTCATTAGAAAAAATTTGTTTGCGTTGAATAAGCAAATATTCGTAAAAATGCAGTTTCTGTAGATCCGCATACTATGAGTAATGAGTTGGTATTGAATTTGCCGCGTCAATTGCAATCACTCAACAGTGGAATAAGATCAGTGGGGTCAATGTGCACGGTGCTGGAAATTGAATGCATGCTTATACACCGTCATTGGGGATTGACAGGTGCAGTGAATGTACCAACAATGTTAGGCGGGCAGACATACACAGGAGTCATTTGTCATTTTTATGCCCACCTTCCTGACTTACATTTATTTGGTACATTATTGGTTGAGATAGATTGAAGGGGCCAATTTCATATTACTACTAGGAGTGCTAGTACACAGGGTGGGGTCAGGGAGAGAATCCTAAACCTGATCCAATCTAGTAGCAATTCCTGTAGTAATTGACAATTTGAATTAGTATGTATATATTAAAAATATAGTATTTTATTATATTTTCAGAAAAAGTTACATTTAGCACATAATGTTGCTCTTTCACTTTTTCTTCTAGGGATTTTCGAATGTTTCAATTACTTATTGTGGCAAAAGGAAAAGAAATTTTAAAAGAACATGACATAAGTGGTCATACTGCTTTACATTGGGCATGTCTTGGTGGGCATACAAAATTGTTGAAACAATTATTGAAAATGATGTCCCATTAAATGTACAAAGTGAAAATGATTATGGACCACAGCCTATACACTGGGCTTGCACTGAAGGATATATTGGTATCGTTGATCTGCTGTTACAGCATGGTGTTCCTATTGAGGCTACTGATAAGAAACAATGCACACCACTTATTATTGCAGCTCAATATGGCAAATCTAATATTTGTAGTTATCTTATTGGTAAAGGAGCTAATATTCATGCTGTTGATACTGAAGGGGATAGTGCTCTCCACTGGGCAGCATTTAAAGGTACCTCCTCAACATTATATTCTGATAAAATAGTTAGGGGATTAATGGTGAAGTGCCACAAAATCATCTTTGATTTATCCTATGTATTCCACTAAACTTACAATTCATAAATTGTCAGTACCTAACCCCACAGATTCACCTCAACTAAAACCTGACTCAAGTATTCTTTGAAAAAGATACAATTATATGCATATATATATGCAGTTTATATTGTATGTACACATGCATGTTCTCTGTACACAAGCATATTTCCTGCTTGTTACTAATGAAATTGGTCATCTTTAATGTATTGTTGATTCACATAATTAACATCTAACATGAACCAAAAAGTGTGAAACCTGAAAGTGTAGTAGTGTCTTAATGTTTTATGTATAATAATTTTTAGGTCATAGTGATTTGGTGCAACTATTTTTATACTCTGGATTTAATCCAGAATTAAAAGATAAAATGGGTCAGGTAATGGATAATGCTAGATGAAATTATTATTTAAGTACTTTCTGTACTTAATATATCAACAAAATATAGAAAAAGTAAATGAAGATGCTAAAATATTTATTCCTGAAATTCTGTCTCTGTATTTTGCCAGGCTCCTATTCATTTAGCTTGTCTTAGCAGCAACTTGCTGGCTGTTAAACATCTAGTTGCTATGGTAAGTACACCTGTTTGACACAATTATAAAATGAAAGGGTTGGAAAGGATATCAGCACAATATGTGATACTAAGTCAAAAATGGGAAGAGCTATAAGAAACACAACACTATACAGCTTGAAGGAACAAAACACCATCATACATACAACCTAACTTAGTATACACATGCTACTTAGCCCAAGAGGGTATAGGTTAGAACGTTTAAACCATGTACATGCTATCCAACCTTAGAAATACAATATGCATTATCCACCTCTAAAAGAAATGACCAACCCACTCCCTGTGAAATGAGGTGCTATTGATTTGTTTTATTGCAGGATATTTCAATCAGTGAACGTGATAATAACCAGAAAACACCTTTAATGTTGGCAATGGGAAGACACTATGATGATATTGTTTCCTATCTCTACAGGAAACAAAATAGATATATAAAATTTACTTTACGGTTGGTCTCGTAATTTACTATTTTCATAAACTATTTTTCAATGCACAGGATATTCATCTTTGTATATG